CCACGTCCACGTCCACGTCCACGTCCACGTCCACGTCCACGTCCACGTCCACGTCCAGGTCCACGTCCAGGTCCACGTCCACGTCCACGTCCACGTCCACGTCCACGTCCACGTCCACGTCCACGTCCACGTCCTCCACGTCCTCGTCCACGTCCTCCACGTCCTCGTCCACGTCCTCCCGTCCACGTCGTCCACGTCCACGTCCAGTCCACGTCCACGTCCATGTCCACGTCCACGTCCACGTCCATGTCCACGTCCACGTCCATGACCACGTCCACGTCCACGTCCACGTCCACGTCCACGTCCACGTCCACGTCCACGTCCACGTCCACGTCCACGTCCACGTCCACGTCCACGTCCACGTCCACGTGCACGTCCAGTCCACGTGCCACGTCACGTCCATTTGTACGTCCACGTCCATTTCCACGTCCACGTCCACGTCCACGTCCACGTCCACGTCCACGTCCATGTCCACTCCATGTCCACGTCCACGTCCACGTCCACGTCCACGTCCACGTCCACGTCCATGTCCACCACCCACGTCCACGTCCACGTCCACGTCCACGTCCAATCCACGTCCACGTCCACGTCCACGTCCACGTCCACGTCCATGTCCACGTCCACGTCCATGTCCACGTCCACGTCCACGTCCATGTCCATGTCCACGTCCACGTCCACGTCCACGTCCATGTCCACGTCCACGTCCACGTCCACGTCCACGTCCACGTCCACGTCCACGTCCATGTCCACGTCCACGTCCACGTCCACGTCCAGGTCCACGTCCACGTCCACGTCCAGGTCCACGTCCACGTCCACGTCCACTTCCACGTCCACGTCCACGTCCACGTCCACGTCCTCCACGTCCTCGTCCACGTCCTCCACGTCCACTTCCACGTCCACGTCCACGTCCACGTCCATGTCCACGTCCACTCCAGTCCACGTCCACGTCCACGTCCATGTCCACGTCCACCTCCGTCCACGTCCACGTCCACGTCCACGTCCACGTCCACGTCCATGTCCACGTCCACGTCCACGTCCACGTCCACGTCCACGTCCATGTCCACGTCCACGTCCACGTCCACGTCCACGTCCATGTCCACGTCCAGGTCCACGTCCACGTCCACGTCCACGTCCACGTCCACGTCCACGTCCACGTCCACGTCCACGTTCCACGTCCACGTCCACGTCCATGTCCACGTCCACGTCCATGTCCACGTCCACGTCCACGTCCACGTCCACGTCCACGTCCACGTCCACGTCCATGTCCACGTCCACGTCCACGTCCACGTCCACGTCCACGTCCACGTCCACGTCCACGTCCACGTCCACGTCCACGTCACGTCCACGTCCACGTCCACGTCCATTTCTACGTCCACGTCCACGTCCACGTCCATTTCCACGTCCACGTCCACGTCCACGTCCACGTCCACGTCCACGTCCATTTCCACGTCCACGTCCACGTCCACGTCCACGTCCACGTCCACGTCCACGTCCACGTCCACGTCCACGTCCACGTCCATTTCTACGTCCACGTCCACGTCCACTTCCACGTCCACGTCCATGTCCACGTCCACGTCCACGTCCACGTCCACGTCCACGTCCATGTCCACGTCCACGTCCACGTCCAGGTCCACGTCCACGTCCACGTCCCGTCCACGTCCACGTCCACGTCCACGTCCACGTCCATGTCCACGTCCACGTCCACGTCCACGTCCACGTCCATGTCCACGTCCACGTCCACGTCCACGTCCACGTCCATGTCCACGTCCACGTCCACGTCCATGTCCACGTCCACGTCCACGTCCATGTCCACGTCCACGTCCACGTCCACGTCCACGTCCACGTCCATTTCCACGTCCACGTCCACGTCCACGTCCACGTCCACGTCCACGTCCACGTCCACGTCCACGTCCACGTCCACGTCCACGTCCATGTCCACGTCCACGTCCACGTCCACGTCCATGTCCACGTCCCGTCCACGTCCACGTCCACGTCCACGTCCATGTCCACGTCCACGTCCACGTCCCTGTCCACGTCCACGTCCACGTCCACGTCCAGGTCCACGTCCACGTCCACTTCCACGTCCACGTCCACGTCCACGTCCACGTCCACGTCCATGTCCACGTCCACGTCCACGTCCACGTCCACGTCCACGTCCACGTCCACGTCCACGTCCACGTCCACGTCCACGTACGTCCACGTCCACGTCCACGTCCATTTCCACGTCCACGTCCACGTCCACGTCCATGTCCACGTCCACGTCCATGTCCATGTCCATGTCCACGTCCACATGTTCACGTCCACGTCCACGTCCACGTCCATGTCCACGTCCACGTCCACGTCCATTTCCACGTCCACGTCCACGTCCACGTCCACGTCCATTTCCACGTCCACGTCCACGTCCACGTCCACGTCCACGTCCACGTCCACGTCCACGTCCATGTCCACGTCCACGTCCACGTCCACGTCCACGTCCACGTCCACGTCCACGTCCACGTCCACTTCCACGTCCACGTCCACGTCCACTTCCACGTCCACGTCCACGTCCACGTCCACGTCCACGTCCACGTCCACGTCCATTTCCACGTCCACGTCCATGTCCACGTCCACGTCCACGTCCACGTCCACGTCCACGTCCACGTCCACGTCCACGTCCACGTCCACGTCCATTTCCACGTCCACGTCCACGTCCACGTCCACGTTCCACGTCCACGTCCACGTCCACGTCCACGTCCACGTTCTACGTCCACGTCCACGTCCACGTCCACGTCCACGTCCACGTCCATTTCTACGTCCACGTCCATTTCCTACGTCCACGTCCACGTCCACGTCCACGTCCACGTCCACGTCCACGTCCACGTCCACGTCCACGTCCACGTCCAGTCCACGTCCACGTCCACGTCCACGTCCACGTCCACGTCCACGTCCACGTCCACGTCCACGTCCACTCCACGTCCACGTCCACGTCCACGTCCACGTCCACGTCCACGTCCACTTCCACGTCCACGTCCATGTCCACGTCCATGTCCACGTCCACGTCCATTTCTACGTCCACGTCCACGTCCACTTCCCAGTCCACGTCCATGTCCACGTCCACGTCCACGTCCACGTCCACGTCCATGTCTACGTCCACGTCCACGTCCACGTCCACGTCCACGTCCACGTCCACGTCCACGTCCACGTCCACGTCCACGTCCACGTCCATGTCCACGTCCACGTCCACGTCCACGTCCACGTCCATTTCTACGTCCACGTCCACGTCCACGTCCCGTCCACGTCCACGTCCACGTCCACGTCCACGTCCACGTCCATGTCCACGTCCACGTCCACGTCCATGTCCACGTCCACGTCCACGTCCATTTCACGTCCACGTCCATTTCCACGTCCACGTCCCGTCCACGTCCATTTCCACGTCCACGTCCACGTCCACGTCCACGTCCACGTCCACGTCCATTTCCCACGTCCACGTCCACGTCCACTTCCACGTCCACGTCCATGTCCACGTCCACGTCCACGTCCACGTCCACGTCCACGTCCACGTCCATGTCCACGTCCACTTCCACGTCCATGTCCACGTCCACGTCCACGTCCACGTCCACGTCCACGTCCACGTCCAGGTCCACGTCCACGTCCATGTCCACGTCCACGTCCACTCCACGTCCACGTCCACGTCCACGTCCACGTCCACGTCCACGTCCATTCCACGTCCACGTCCACGTCCACGTCCATTTCTACGTCCACGTCCACGTCCACGTCCATGTCCACGTCCATGTCCACGTCCACGTCCACGTCCATGTCCATGTCCACGTCCACGTCCACGTCCATGTCTACGTCCACGTCCACGTCCACGTCCACGTCCATGTCCACGTCCATGTCCACGTCCATGTCCACGTCCAGGTCCACGTCCAGGTCCACGTCCACGTCCACGTCCACTTCCACGTCCACGTCCACGTCCACGTCCACGTCCACGTCCACGTCCACGTCCAGGTCCACGTCCACGTCCACGTCCACGTCCACGTCCACGTCCACGTCCACGTCCACGTCCACGTCCTCCACGTCCTCGTCCACGTCCTCCACGTCCTCGTCCACGTCCTCCACGTCCACGTCGTCCACGTCCACGTCCACGACCACGTCCACGTCCATGTCCACGTCCACGTCCACGTCCATGTCCACGTCCACGTCCATGTCCACGTCCACGTCCACGTCCACGTCCACGTCCATGTCCACGTCCACGTCCACGTCCACGTTCACGTCCACGTCCACGTCCACGTCCACGTCCACGTCCACGTCCAGGTCCACGTCCACGTCCACGTCCATTTGTACGTCCACGTCCATTTCTACGTCCACGTCCACGTCCACGTCCACGTCCACGTCCATGTCCACGTCCATGTCCACGTCCACGTCCACGTCCACGTCCACGTCCACGTCCACGTCCACGTCCACGTCCACGTCCACGTCCATTCTACGTCCACGTCCACGTCCACGTCCACGTCCACGTCCATGTCCATGTCCACGTCCATGTCCATGTCCACGTCCACGTCCATGTCCATGTCCACGTCCACGTCCACGTCCACGTCCACGTCCACGTCCACGTCCACGTCCACGTCCACGTCCACGTCCACGTCCACTGTCCACGTCCATGTCCACGTCCCTCGTCCAGGTCCACGTCCAGGTCCACGTCCACGTCCACGTCCAGGTCCACGTCCACGTCCACGTCCACTGTCCACGTCCACGTCCCACGTCCACGTCCACGTCCTCCACGTCCTCGTCCACGTCCTCCCGTCCACGTCCACGTCCTCCACGTCCACGTCCTCCACGTCCACGTCCATGTCCACGTCCACGTCCACGTCCATGTCCACGTCCACGTCCATGTCCACGTCCACGTCCACGTCCACGTCCACGTCCACGTCCACGTCCACGTCCATGTCCACGTCCACGTCCATGTCCACGTCCACGTCCACGTCCACGTCCACGTCCACGTCCACGTCCACGTCCACGTCCATTCCATTCCACGTCCACGTCCACGTCCACGTCATTTCTACGTCCACGTCCACGTCCACGTCCACGTCCACGTCCATGTCCACGTCCACGTCCACGTCCACGTCCACGTCCACGTCCACGTCCATTCCATGTCCACGTCCACGTCCACGTCCATGTCCACGTCCATGTCCACGTCCACGTCCACGTCCACGTCCATTCCACGTCCACGTCCACGTCCACGTCCATGTCCACGTCCACGTCCACGTCCACGTCCATGTCCACGTCCATGTCCACGTCCACGTCCACGTCCATGTCCACGTCCACGTCCATGTCCACGTCCACGTCCATGTCCACGTCCACGTCCATGTCCACGTCCACGTCCACGTCCACGTCCATGTCCACGTCCACGTCCACGTCCACGTCCACGTCCATGTCCACGTCCACGTCCACGTCCACGTCCATGTCCACGTCCACGTCCACGTCCACGTCCACGTCCACGTCCACGTCCACGTCCATGTCCACGTCCACGTCCACGTCCATGTCCACGTCCATGTCCACGTCCACGTCCACGTCCACGTCCACGTCCACGTCCACGTCCACGTCCACGTCCACGTCCACGTCCATGTCCACGTCCACGTCCACGTCCACGTCCACGTCCATGTCCACACGTCCATGTCCACGTCCACGTCCACGTCCATGTCCACGTCCACGTCCACGTCCACGTCCACGTCCACGTCCACGTCCACGTCCACGTCCACGTCCACGTCCACGTCCACATCCACGTCCACGTCCACGTCCACGTCCACGTCCATGTCCACGTCCACGTCCATGTCCACGTCCACGTCCACGTCCACGTCCATGTCCACGTCCACGTCCACGTCCATTTCCACGTCCACGTCCACGTCCACGTCCATGTCCACGTCCACGTCCATGTCCACGTCCACGTCCCGTCCATGTCCATGTCCACGTCCACGTCCACGTCCACGTCCACGTCCACGTCCACGTCCACGTCCACGTCCATGTCCACGTCCACGTCCACGTCCACGTCCACTGTCCACGTCCATGTCCACGTCCACGTCCACGTCCACGTCCATGTCCACGTCCACGTCCATGTCCACGTCCACGTCCACGTCCATTTCCACGTCCACGTCCACGTCCACGTCCACGTCCACGTCCACGTCCACGTCCACGTCCACGTCCACGTCCATGTCCACGTCCATGTCCACGTCCATGTCCACGTCCACGTCCACGTCCACGTCCACGTCCACGTCCACGTCCACGTCCATTCCACGTCCACGTCCATGTCCACGTCCACGTCCATGTCCACGTCCACGTCCACGTCCACGTCCATGTCCACGTCCACGTCCACGTCCACGTCCACGTCCACGTCCACGTCCACGTCCACGTCCATGTCCACGTCCACGTCCACGTCCACGTCCATGTCCACGTCCACGTCCACGTCCACGTCCATGTCCACGTCCACGTCCACGTCCACGTCCATGTCCACGTCCACGTCCACGTCCACGTCCACGTCCACGTCCACGTCCATGTCCACGTCCACGTCCACGTCCATGTCCACGTCCACGTCCATGTCCACGTCCACGTCCACGTCCACGTCCACGTCCACGTCCACGTCCACGTCCACGTCCATGTCCACGTCCACGTCCACGTCCACGTCCACGTCCACGTCCACGTCCACGTCCACGTCCACGTCCACGTCCACGTCCACGTCCACGTCCACGTCCATGTCCACGTCCATGTCCCCGTCCACATCCGTCCACTGTCCACGTCCACGTCCACGTCCACGTCCACGTCCACGTCCACGTCCACGTCCACGTCCACGTCCACGTCCACGTCCATGTCCACGTCCACGTCCACGTCCATTTCCACGTCCACGTCCACGTCCACGTCCATGTCCACGTCCACGTCCACGTCCACGCGTCCGTCCACGTCCACGTCCACGTCCACGTCCACGTCCACGTCCACGTCCACGTCCACGTCCACGTCCACGTCCACGTCCACGTCCATGTCCACGTCCACGTCCACGTCCACGTCCACGTCCACGTCCACGTCCACGTCCACGTCCACGTCCATGTCCACGTCCACGTCCACGTCCACGTCCACGTCCACGTCCACGTCCACGTCCACGTCCACGTCCACGTCCACGTCCACGTCCACGTCCACGTCCATGTCCACGTCCACGTCCACGTCCACGTCCACGTCCACGTCCACGTCCACGTCCACGTCCACGTCCATTTCCACGTCCACGTCCACGTCCACGTCCACGTCCACGTCCACGTCCACGTCCACGTCCACGTCCACGTCCACGTCCACGTCCCCAGGTCCACGTCCACGTCCACGTCCACGTCCACGTCCACGTCCATGTCCACGTCCACGTCCACGTCCTGTCCACGTCCACGTCCACGTCCACGTCCACGTCCACGTCCACGTCCACGTCCATTCCACGTCCACGTCCACGTCCACGTCCATACGTCCACGTCCACGTCCCGTCCACGTCCACGTCCATGTCCACGTCCACGTCCATGTCCACGTCCACGTCCACGTCCACGTCCACGTCCACGTCCACGTCCAGTCCACGTCCACGTCCACGTCCACGTCCATGTCCACGTCCACGTCCACGTCCACGTCCACGTCCACGTCCACGTCCTCACGTCCACGTCCACGTCCTCCACGTCCTCGTCCACGTCCTCATACGTCCACGTCGTCCACGTCCACGTCCACGTCCACGTCCACGTCCATGTCCACGTCCACGTCCACGTCCATGTCCACGTCCATGTCCACGTCCACGTCCACGTCCACGTCCACGTCCACGTCCACGTCCACGTCCACGTCCACGTCCACGTCCACGTCCACATCCACGTCCACGTCCACGTCCACGTCCACGTCCACGTCCACGTCCACGTCCATTTCCTACGTCCACGTCCATTTCTACGTCCACGTCCACGTCCACGTCCATGTCCACTCCTCCCGTCCACGTCCACGTCCACGTCCACGTCCAGGTCCACGTCCACGTCCACGTCCACGTCCAGGTTCCACGTCCACGTCCACGTCCAGGTCCACGTCCACGTCCACGTCCTCCACCACGTCCACTTCCACGTCCACGTCCACGTCCACGTCCACGTCCACGTCCAGTCCATGTCCACGTCCACGTCCACGTCCATGTCCTCCACGTCCATGTCCACTCCCACGTCCACGTCCACGTCCATGTCCACGTCCACGTCCACGTCCACGTTCACGTCCACGTCCACGTCCATGTCCACGTCCATTTCCATGTCCACGTCCCGTCCACGTCCACGTCCATTTCTACGTCCACGTCCACGTCCACGTCCACGTCCACGTCCATGTCCACGTCCATGTCCACGTCCATGTCCACGTCCACGTCCACGTCCACGTCCACGTCCATGTCCACGTCCACGTCCACGTCCATGTCCACGTCCACGTCCACGTCCACGTCCACGTCCACGTCCACGTCCATGTCCACGTCCACGTCCACGTCCACGTCCACGTCCACGTCCACGTCCATTTCCACGTCCACGTCCACGTCCACGTCCACGTCCCGTCCATGTCCACGTCCACGTCCCCCACGTCCACGTCCATGTCCACGTCCACGTCCACGTCCATGTCCACGTCCACGTCCACGTCCACGTCCACGTCCACGTCCATGTCCACGTCCACGTCCACGTCCACGTCCACGTCCACGTCCACGTCCATGTCCACGTCCACGTCCACGTCCACGTCCATGTCCACGTCCACGTCCATGTCCACGTCCACGTCCATGTCCACGTCCATGTCCACGTCCATGTCCACGTCCACGTCCACGTCCATGTCCACGTCCACGTCCACGTCCACGTCCACGTCCCTCCACGTCCGTCCACGTCCACGTCCACGTCCACGTCCACGTCCACGTCCACGTCCATGTCCACGTCCACGTCCATGTCCACGTCCACGTCCACGTCCACGTCCATTTCCACGTCCACGTCCACGTCCATTTCCACGTCCACGTCCACGTCCACGTCCATGTCCACGTCCACGTCCATGTCCACGTCCACGTCCATGTCCACGTCCATGTCCACGTCCATGTCCACGTCCACGTCCACGTCCACGTCCACGTCCACGTCCACGTCCATGTCCACGTCCACGTCCATGTCCACGTCCACGTCCATGTCCACGTCCACGTCCACGTCCATGTCCACGTCCACGTCCACGTCCACGTCCACGTCCACGTCCACGTCCACGTCCACGTCCCGTCCACGTCCACGTCCATGTCCACGTCCACGTCCACGTCCAGGTCCACGTCCAGTCCACGTCCACGTCCACGTCCACGTCCACGTCCATGTCCACGTCCACGTCCACGTCCACGTCCACGTCCACGTCCTCCACGTCCACGTCCACGTCCTCCACGTCCACGTCCACGTCCTCCACGTCCACGTCCGTCCACGTCCACGTCCACGTCCACGTCCACGTCCATGTCCACGTCCACGTCCACGTCCATGTCCACGTCCACGTCCATGTCCACGTCCACGTCCACGTCCACGTCCACGTCACGTCCACGTCCACGTCCACGTCCACGTCCACGTCCACGTCCACATCCACGTCCACGTCCACGTCCACGTCCACGTCCACGTCCCGGTCCACGTCCATTTCCACGTCCACGTCCATTTCCACGTCCACGTCCACGTCCATGTCCACGTCCACGTCCACGTCCACGTCCACGTCCACGTCCACGTCCACGTCCACGTCCACGTCCACGTCCAGTCCACGTCCACGTCCACGTCCACGTCCACGTCCACGTCCTCCACCACGTCCACGTCCACGTCCACGTCCACGTCCACGTCCACGTCCACGTCCACGTCCACGTCCATGTCCACGTCCACGTCCACGTCCATGTCCACGTCCACGTCCATGTCCACGTCCACGTCCACGTCCACGTCCATGTCCACGTCCACGTCCACGTCCACGTCCACGTCCACGTCCACGTCCATGTCCACGTCCATTTCCATGTCACGTCCACGTCCACGTCCACGTCCATTTCCACGTCCACGTCCACGTCCACGTCCACGTCCATGTCCATGTCCACGTCCACGTCCACGTCCACGTCCACGTCCACGTCCACGTCCACGTCCACGTCCATGTCCACGTCCACGTCCACGTCCATGTCCACGTCCACGTCCACGTCCACGTCCACGTCCACGTCCACGTCCATGTCCACGTCCACGTCCAGTCCACGTCCACGTCCACGTCCACGTCCATTCCACGTCCACGTCCACGTCCACGTCCACGTCCACGTCCATGTCCACGTCCACGTCCACGTCCACGTCCACTTCCACGTCCACGTCCACGTCCACGTCCACGTCCACGTCCACGTCCATGTCCACGTCCACGTCCACGTCCACGTCCACGTCCACGTCCATGTCCACGTCCACGTCCACGTCCACGTCCACGTCCACGTCCACGTCCACGTCCACGTCCATGTCCACGTCCACGTCCATGTCCACGTCCACGTCCACGTCCATGTCCACGTCCACGTCCACGTCCACGTCCACGTCCACGTCCACGTCCACGTCCACGTCCACGTCCACGTCCATGTCCACGTCCACGTCCATGTCCACGTCCACGTCCACGTCCACGTCCATGTCCACGTCCACGTCCACGTCCATTTCCACGTCCACGTCCACGTCCACGTCCACGTCCTGTCCACGTCCACGTCCATGTCCACGTCCACGTCCATGTCCACGTCCATGTCCACGTCCATGTCCACGTCCACGTCCACGTCCATGTCCACGTCCACGTCCACGTCCACGTCCACGTCCATTTCCTACGTCCACGTCCATGTCCACGTCCACGTCCATGTCCACGTCCACGTCCACGTCCATGTCCACGTCCACGTCCACGTACGTCCACGTCCACGTCCACGTCCACGTCCACGTCCACGTCCACGTCCACGTCCACGTCCACGTCCACGTCCACGTCCACGTCCACGTCCACGTCCACGTCCACGTCCACGTCCATGTCCACGTCCACGTCCATTTCCACGTCCACGTCCACGTCCACGTCCACGTCCACGTCCATGTCCACGTCCACGTCCACGTCCATGTCCACGTCCACGTCCACGTCCACGTCCACGTCCACGTCCATGTCCACGTCCACGTCCACGTCCACGTCCATGTCCACGTCCACGTCCACGTCCACGTCCACGTCCACGTCCACGTCCACGTCCACGTCCATTCCACGTCCACGTCCACGTCCATGTCCACGTCCACGTCCACGTCCACGTCCACGTCCACGTCCACGTCCTGTCCACGTCCACGTCCACGTCCACGTCCACGTCCACGTCCACGTCCACGTCCACGTCCACGTCCACGTCCACGTCCACGTCCATGTCCACGTCCACGTCCGTCCACGTCCACGTCCATGTCCACGTCCACGTCCACGTCCACGTCCATGTCCACGTCCACGTCCACGTCCACGTCCATGTCCACGTCCACGTCCACGTCCATGTCCACGTCCACGTCCATGTCCACGTCCACGTCCATGTCCACGTCCACGTCCACGTCCATGTCCACGTCCACGTCCACGTCCACGTCCACGTCCACGTCCACGTCCACGTCCACGTCCACGTCCACGTCCACGTCCACGTCCATGTCCACGTCCACGTCCACGTCCACGTCCATGTCCACGTCCACGTCCATGTCCACGTCCACGTCCACGTCCACGTCCACGTCCATGTCCACGTCCACGTCCACGTCCACGTCCACGTCCATGTCCACGTCCACGTCCACGTCCACGTCCACGTCCACGTCCACGTCCACGTCCACGTCCACGTCCACGTCCCGTCCACGTCCACGTCCACGTCCACGTCCACGTCCACGTCCACGTCCACGTCCACGTCCACGTCCACGTCCACGTCCAGTCCACGTCCACGTCCACGTCCACGTCCATGTCCACGTCCACGTCCACGTCCACGTCCACGTCCACGTCCATGTCCACGTCCACGTCCACGTCATGTCCACGTCCACGTCCACGTCCACGTCCACGTCCACGTCCATGTCCACGTCCACGTCCACGTCCACGTCCATGTCCACGTCCACGTCCTGTCCACGTCCACGTCCACGTCCACGTCCACGTCCACGTCCACGTCCACGTCCACGTCCACGTCCATGTCCACGTCCACGTCCACGTCCACCCCCCACGTCCCACGTCCACGTCCACGTCCATGTCCACGTCCACGTCCACGTCCACGTCCACGTCCACGTCCACGTCCACGTCCACGTCCACGTCCATGTCCACGTCCACGTCCATGTCCACCCCGTCCACGTCCACGTCCACGTCCACGTCCATGTCCACGTCCACGTCCACGTCCACGTCCATGTCCACGTCCACGTCCACGTCCACGTCCATGTCCACGTCCACGTCCACGTCCACGTCCACGTCCACGTCCATGTCCACGTCCCGTCCACGTCCACGTCCACGTCCACGTCCACGTCCACGTCCACGTCCACGTCCACGTCCACGTCCACGTCCACGTCCACGTCCACGTCCACGTCCATGTCCACGTCCACGTCCCACGTCCACGTCCCGTCCACGTCCACGTCCATGTCCACGTCCACGTCCACGTCCACGTCCACGTCCACGTCCACGTCCACGTCCACGTCCATGTCCACGTCCATGTCCCCACGTCCATGTCCACGTCCACGTCCACGTCCACGTCCACGTCCACGTCCACGTCCACGTCCATGTCCACGTCCACGTCCATGTCCACGTTCACGTCCACGTCCACGTCCACGTCCACGTCCACGTCCTGTCCACGTCCACGTCCGTGTCCATGTCCACGTCCACGTCCACGTCCACGTCCACGTCCACGTCCACGTCCACGTCCACGTCCACGTCCACGTCCACGTCCACGTCCACGTCCGTCCCACCATGTCCATGTCCACGTCCATGTCCACGTCCACGTCCACGTCCACGTCCACGTCCATGTCCACGTCCACGTCCACGTCCACGTCCACGTCCACGTCCTGTCCACGTCCACGTCCATGTCCACGTCCACGTCCACGTCCACGTCCACGTCCACGTCCACGTCCACGTCCACGTCCACGTCCACGTCCACGTCCACGTCCATGTCCACGTCCACGTCCACGTCCACGTCCACGTCCACGTCCACGTCCACGTCCACGTCCACGTCCACGTCCACGTCCACGTCCACGTCCACGTCCACGTCCACGTCCACGTCCACGTCCACGTCCACGTCCATGTCCACGTCCACGTCCACCCCACGTCCGTCCTCCACGTCCACGTCCACGTCCACGTCCACGTCCACGTCCACGTCCACGTCCACGTCCACGTCCACGTCCACGTCCACGTCCACGTCCACGTCCACGTCCACGTCCACGTCCACGTCCACGTCCACGTCCATGTCCACGTCCACGTCCACGTCCACGTCCACGTCCACGTCCACGTCCACGTCCACGTCCATTCCACGTCCACGTCCATGTCCACGTCCACGTCCACGTCCACGTCCACGTCCACGTCCACGTCCTCCACGTCCACGTCCATGTCCACGTCCACGTCCACGTCCACGTCCACGTCCACGTCCACGTCCACGTCCACGTCCACGTCCACGTCCACGTCCACGTCCACGTCCACGTCCACGTCCACGTCCACGTCCACGTCCACGTCCACGTCCACGTCCACGTCCACGTCCATGTCCACGTCCACGTCCATGTCCACGTCCACGTCCACGTCCACGTCCACGTCCACGTCCACGTCCATGTCCACGTCCATGTCCACGTCCATGTCCACGTCCACGTCCACGTCCACGTCCACGTCCACGTCCACGTCCACGTCCACGTCCACGTCCACGTCCATTTCCACGTCCACGTCCATTTCCACGTCCACGTCCACGTCCACGTCCATGTCCACGTCCACGTCCACGTCCACGTCACGTCCACGTCCACGTCCACGTCCACGTCCACGTCCACGTCCACGTCCACGTCCACGTCCACGTCCAGTCCACGTCCACGTCCACGTCCTCCACCACGTCCACGTCCACGTCCACGTCCACGTCCACGTCCACGTCCACGTCCACGTCCATGTCCACGTCCACGTCCACGTCCATGTCCACGTCCACGTCCATGTCCACGTCCACGTCCACGTCCACGTCCATGTCCACGTCCACGTCCACGTCCACGTCCACGTCCACGTCCATGTCCACGTCCACGTCCATGTCCACGTCCACGTCCACGTCCACGTCCACGTCCTACGTCCACGTCCACGTCCACGTCCACGTCCATGTCCACGTCCACGTCCACGTCCACGTCCATGTCCACGTCCACGTCCACGTCCACGTCCATGTCCACGTCCCACGTCCACGTCCATGTCCACGTCCACGTCCACGTCCACGTCCACGTCCACGTCCACGTCCATGTCCACGTCCATTTCCATCCACGTCCACGTCCACGTCCACGTCCATGTCCACGTCCACGTCCACGTCCACGTCCACGTCCACGTCCATGTCCATGTCCACGTCCACGTCCACGTCCACGTCCACGTCCACGTCCACGTCCACGTCCACGTCCATGTCCATGTCCACGTCCACGTCCACGTCCACGTCCACGTCCATGTCCACGTCCACGTCCACGTCCACGTCCACGTCCACGTCCACGTCCACGTCCACGTCCATGTCCACGTCCACGTCCATGTCCACGTCCACGTCCACGTCCACGTCCACGTCCACGTCCACGTCCATGTCCACGTCCACGTCCACGTCCACGTCCACGTCCACGTCCACGTCCATGTCCACGTCCACGTCCATGTCCACGTCCACGTCCACGTCCACGTCCATTTCCACGTCCACGTCCACGTCCATTCCACGTCCACGTCCACGTCCACGTCCATGTCCACGTCCACGTCCAGTCCACGTCCACGTCCATGTCCACGTCCATGTCCACGTCCATGTCCACGTCCACGTCCACGTCCATGTCCACGTCCACGTCCACGTCCACGTCCACGTCCATGTCCACGTCCACGTCCATGTCCACGTCCGTCCATGTCCCAGTCCACGTCCACGTCCATTTCCACGTCCACGTCCACGTCCACGTCCACGTCCACGTCCACGTCCACGTCCACGTCCATGTCCACGTCCACGTCCATGTCCACGTCCATGTCCACGTCCACGTCCATGTCCACGTCCACGTCCACGTCCACGTCCACGTCCACGTCCACGTCCATGTCCACGTCCACGTCCACGTCCACGTCCACGTCCACGTCCATGTCCACGTCCACGTCCACGTCCACGTCCATGTCCACGTCCACGTCCATTCCACGTCCACGTCCACGTCCACGTCCACGTCCACGTCCATTCCACGTCCATGTCCACGTCCATGTCCACGTCCACGTCCACGTCCACGTCCACGTCCATGTCCACGTCCACGTCCACGTCCATTCCACGTCCACGTCCATGTCCACGTCCACGTCCATGTCCACGTCCACGTCCACGTCCATGTCCACGTCCACGTCCACGTCCACGTCCACGTCCACGTCCACGTCCACGTCCACGTCCCGTTCCACGTCCACGTCCACGTCCACGTCCACGTCCACGTCCATGTCCACGTCCACGTCCACGTCCACGTCCACGTCCACGTCCATGTCCACGTCCACGTCCACGTCCATGTCCACGTCCACGTCCACGTCCACGTCCACGTCCACGTCCACGTCCATGTCCACGTCCACGTCCATGTCCACGTCCACGTCCATGTCCACGTCCACGTCCACGTCCACGTCCATGTCCACGTCCACGTCCATGTCCACGTCCACGTCCACGTCCACGTCCACGTCCACGTCCACGTCCACGTCCACGTCCACGTCCACGTCCATGTCCACGTCCACGTCCACGTCCACGTCCACGTCCACGTCCACGTCCATTTCCACGTCCACGTCCACGTCCATGTCCACGTCCACGTCCACGTCCACGTCCACGTCCACGTCCACGTCCACGTCCACGTCCACGTCCACGTCCACATGTCCACGTCCATGTCCACGTCCACGTCCATGTCCACGTCCACGTCCACGTCCACGTCCACGTCCACGTCCACGTCCACGTCCACGTCCACGTCCACGTCCACGTCCACGTCCACGTCCACGTCCACGTCCAACGTCCACGTCCACGTCCACGTCCACGTCCACGTCCACGTCCACGTCCACGTCCACGTCCACGTCCACGTCCACGTCCACGTCCACGTCCACGTCCACGTCCACGTCCACGTCCACGTCCATGTCCACGTCCACGTCCATGTCCACGTCCACGTCCATGTCCACGTCCATGTCCACGTCCACGTCCACGTCCACGTCCACGTCCACGTCCACGTCCACGTCCACGTCCACGTCCACGTCCACGTCCACGTCCACGTCCATGTCCACGTCCCGTCCACGTCCACGTCCACGTCCACGTCCACGTCCACGTCCACGTCCACGTCCACGTCCACGTCCACGTCCACGTCCACGTCCACGTCCATGTCCACGTCCACGTCCATGTCCACGTCCACGTCCACGTCCATGTCCACGTCCACGTCCACGTCCATGTCCACGTCCACGTCCACGTCCACGTCCACGTCCACGTCCACGTCCCTAACCACGTCCCGTCCCATGTCCACGTCCACGTCCATGTCCACGTCCACGTCCACGTCCATTTCCACGTCCACGTCCACGTCCACGTCCACGTCCACGTCCACGTCCACGTCCACGTCCACGTCCATGTCCACGTCCACGTCCATGTCCACGTCCACGTCCATGTCCACGTCCACGTCCACGTCCATGTCCACGTCCACGTCCACGTCCATGTCCACGTCCACGTCCACGTCCACGTCCACGTCCACGTCCATGTCCACGTCCACGTCCACGTCCACGTCCACGTCCACGTCCATGTCCACGTCCACGTCCACGTCCACGTCCACGTCCACGTCCACGTCCACGTCCATGTCCACGTCCACGTCCACGTCCACGTCCACGTCCACGTCCACGTCCACGTCCACGTCCACGTCCATGTCCACGTCCACGTCCACGTCCATGTCCACGTCCATGTCCATGTCCACGTCCACGTCCACGTCCATGTCCACGTCCACGTCCATGTCCACGTCCACGTCCACGTCCACGTCCACGTCCATGTCCACGTCCACGTCCACGTCCACGTCCACGTCCACGTCCACGTCCATGTCCACGTCCACGTCCATGTCCACGTCCACGTCCATGTCCACGTCCACGTCCACGTCCATGTCCACGTCCACGTCCACGTCCATGTCCACGTCCACGTCCACGTCCACGTCCACGTCCACCTCCACGTCCATGTCCACGTCCACGTCCATGTCCACGTCCACGTCCACGTCCACGTCCACGTCCACGTCCACGTCCACGTCCATTTCCACGTCCACGTCCACGTCCACGTCCATGTCCACGTCCACGTCCATGTCCACGTCCACGTCCATGTCCACGTCCATGTCCACGTCCATGTCCACGTCCACGTCCACGTCCATGTCCACGTCCACGTCCACGTCCACGTCCACGTCCATGTCCACGTCCACGTCCATGTCCACGTCCACGTCCATGTCCACGTCCACGTCCACGTCCATGTCCACGTCCACGTCCACCCCACGTCCACGTCCACGTCCACGTCCACGTCCACGTCCACGTCCACGTCCACGTCCATGTCCACGTCCACGTCCATGTCCACGTCCACGTCCATGTCCACGTCCACGTCCACGTCCACGTCCCACGTCCACGTCCACGTCCAGTCCACGTCCACGTCCACGTCCACGTCCACGTCCGTCCACGTCCACGTCCACGTCCACGTCCACGTCCACGTCCAGTCCAGTCCATGTCCACGTCCACACGTCCATGTCCACGTCCACGTCCACGTCCACGTCCACGTCCACGTCCATGTCCACGTCCACGTCCACGTCCACGTCCACGTCCACGTCCACGTCCTGTCCACGTCCACGTCCACGTCCACGTCCACGTCCATGTCCACGTCCACGTCCACGTCCACGTCCATGTCCACGTCCACGTCCACGTCCACGTCCACGTCCACGTCCACGTCCACGTCCACGTCCACGTCCACGTCCACGTCCACGTCCACGTCCATTCCACGTCCACGTCCACGTCCATGTCCACGTCCACGTCCATGTCCACGTCCACGTCCACGTCCACGTCCATGTCCACGTCCACGTCCACGTCCACGTCCACGTCCACGGCCAGTCCACGTCCACGTCCATGTCCACGTCCACGTCCACGTCCACGTCCACGTCCACGTCCACGTCCACGTCCGTCCACGTCCATGTCCACGTCCACGTCCACGTCCACGTTCACGTCCACGTCCACGTCCACGTCCACGTCCACGTCCACGTCCACGTCCATGTCCACGTCCCCCACGTCCACGTCCACGTCCCCCATGTCCACGTCCACGTCCACGTCCACGTCCACGTCCACGTCCATGTCCACGTCCACGTCCACGTCCACCCCACCCCATGTCCACGTCCATGTCCACGTCCACGTCCACGTCCACGTCCACGTCCACGTCCACGTCCACGTCCACGTCCATGTCCACGTCCCGTCCACGTCCATGTCCACGTCCACGTCCACGTCCACGTCCATGTCCACGTCCACGTCCATGTCCACGTCCATGTCCACGTCCACGTCCATGTCCACGTCCATGTCCACGTCCACGTCCACGTCCATGTCCACGTCCACGTCCACGTCCACGTCCACGTCCACGTCCATGTCCACGTCCACGTCCATGTCCACGTCCACGTCCACGTCCACGTCCATGTCCACGTCCACGTCCACGTCCACGTCCACGTCCACGTCCACGTCCACGTCCATGTCCACGTCCACGTCCACGTCCATGTCCACGTCCATGTCCACGTCCACGTCCACGTCCACGTCCACGTCCACGTCCACGTCCACGTCCACGTCCACGTCCACGTCCACGTCCACGTCCATGTCCACGTCCACGTCCACGTCCATGTCCACGTCCACGTCCACGTCCACGTCCACGTCCACGTCCACGTCCACGTCCATGTCCACGTCCACGTCCACGTCCACGTCCACGTCCACGTCCACGTCCATGTCCACGTCCACGTCCACGTCCACGTCCACGTCCACGTCCACGTCCACGTCCACGTCCACGTCCACGTCCACGTCCACGTCCACGTCCACGTCCATGTCCACGTCCATTCCACGTCCACTCCACGTCCACGTCCAGTCCGTCCACGTCCACGTCCACGTCCACGTCCACGTCCACGTCCACGTCCACGTCCATGTCCACGTCCACGTCCACGTCCACGTCCATGTCCACGTCCATGTCCACGTCCATGTCCACGTCCACGTCCACGTCCACGTCCACGTCCACGTCCACGTCCATGTCCACGTCCCGTCCACGTCCACGTCCACGTCCACGTCCACGTCCATGTCCACGTCCATGTCCACGTCCACGTCCACGTCCACGTCCACGTCCACGTCCACGTCCACGTCCATGTCCACGTCCACGTCCACGTCCACGTCCACGTCCACGTCCCATGTCCACGTCCATGTCCACGTCCACGTCCACGTCCACGTCCACGTCCACGTCCACGTCCACGTCCACGTCCACGTCCACGTCCACGTCCACGTCCACGTCCACGTCCATGTCCACGTCCACGTCCACGTCCACGTCCATGTCCACGTCCACGTCCACGTCCACGTCCACGTCCATGTCCACGTCCACGTCCACGTCCACGTCCACGTCCACGTCCACGTCCACGTCCACGTCCATGTCCACGTCCAGTCCACGTCCATGTCCACGTCCACGTCCACGTCCACGTCCACGTCCACGTCCATGTCCACGTCCACGTCCACGTCCACGTCCACGTCCACGTCCACGTCCACGTCCACACGTCCACGTCCACGTCCACGTCCACGTCCACGTTCCACGTCCGTCCACGTCCACGTCCCGTCCATGTCCACGTCCACGTCCATGTCCACGTCCATGTCCACGTCCACGTCCACGTCCACGTCCACGTCCACGTCCACGTCCATGTCCACGTCCACGTCCACGTCCACGTCCACGTCCACGTCCATGTCCACGTCCACGTCCACGTCCACGTCCACGTCCACGTCCATGTCCACGTCCACGTCCACGTCCACGTCCACGTCCACGTCCACGTCCACGTCCACGTCCACGTCCACGTCCACGTCCACGTCCACGTCCATGTCCACGTCCACGTCCACGTCCACGTCCACGTCCACGTCCATGTCCACGTCCACGTCCATGTCCACGTCCACGTCCATGTCCACGTCCATGTCCACGTCCACGTCCATGTCCACGTCCACGTCCACGTCCACGTCCACGTCCACGTCCACGTCCACGTCCACGTCCCACGTCCACGTCCACGTCCACGTCCACGTCCACGTCCATGTCCACGTCCACGTCCACGTCCACGTCCATGTCCACGTCCACGTCCACGTCCACGTCCACGTCCACGTCCACGTCCATGTCCATGTCCACGTCCACGTCCACGTCCACGTCCACGTCCAGTCCACGTCCACGTCCACGTCCACGTCCACGTCCACGTCCATGTCCACGTCCACGTCCAGTCCACGTCCACGTCCACGTCCACGTCCACGTTCACGTCCACGTCCACGTCCACGTCCATGTCCACGTCCACGTCCACGTCCACGTCCACGTCCATGTCCACGTCCACGTCCACGTCCACGTCCATGTCCACGTCCACGTCCACGTCCACGTCCACGTCCACGTCCACGTCCACGTCCACGTCCACGTCCACGTCCACGTCCACGTCCACGTCCATGTCACGTCTCCACGTCCATTTCCACGTCCACCCATCCACGTCCACGTCCATGTCCACGTCCACGTCCACGTCCACGTCCATGTCCACGTCCACGTCCACGTCCACGTCCACGTCCATGTCCACGTCCATGTCCACGTCCTTCCATGTCCACGTCCACGTCCACGTCCATGTCCACGTCCACGTCCACGTCCACGTCCACGTCCACGTCCACGTCCACGTCCACGTCCACGTCCACGTCCACGTCCACGTCCACGTCCACGTCCACGTCCACGTCCACGTCCACGTCCACGTCCACGTCCACGTCCACGTCCACGTCCACGTCCATGTCCACGTCCACGTCCACGTCCATGTCCACGTCCACGTCCACGTCCACGTCCACGTCCACGTCCACGTCCATGTCCACGTCCACGTCCACGTCCACGTCCACGTCCATGTCCACGTCCATGTCCACGTCCATGTCCACGTCCACGTCCACGTCCACGTCCACGTCCACGTCCACGTCCACGTCCACGTCCATGTCCACGTCCACGTCCATGTCCACGTCCACGTCCACGTCCATGTCCACGTCCATGTCCACGTCCACGTCCACGTCCACGTCCACGTCCATGTCCACGTCCACGTCCACGTCCACGTCCACGTCCACGTCCACGTCCACGTCCACGTCCACGTCCACGTCCACGTCCACGTCCACGTCCACGTCCACGTCCACGTCCACGTCCACGTCCACGTCCACGTCCATGTCCACGTCCACGTCCACGTCCACGTCCACGTCCACGTCCACGTCCACGTCCACGTCCATGTCCACGTCCTGTCCACGTCCATGTCCACGTCCACGTCCAGTCCACGTCCACGTCCACGTCCACGTCCACGTCCATGTCCACGTCCACGTCCACGTCCACGTCCACGTCCACGTCCACGTCCACGTCCACGTCCACGTCCACGTCCACGTCCACGTCCACGTCCACGTCCCGTCCACGTCCACGTCCACGTCCACGTCCACGTCCACGTCCACGTCCACGTCCACGTCCATGTCCACGTCCACGTCCATGTCCACGTCCACGTCCACGTCCACGTCCACGTCCACGTCCATGTCCACGTCCACGTCCACGTCCACGTCCACGTCCACGTCCATGTCCACGTCCACGTCCACGTCCACGTCCACGTCCACGTCCACGTCCACGTCCACGTCCACGTCCACGTCCATGTCCACGTCCACGTCCACGTCCATGTCCACGTCCACGTCCACGTCCACGTCCACGTCCACGTCCCGTCCATGTCCACGTCCACGTCCATGTCCACGTCCACGTCCACGTCCACGTCCACGTCCACGTCCACGTCCATGTCCACGTCCACGTCCACGTCCACGTCCCGTCCACGTCCATGTCCACGTCCACGTCCACGTCCACGTCCACGTCCACGTCCACGTCCACGTCCATGTCCACGTCCACGTCCACGTCCACGTCCATGTCCATGTCCACGTCCACGTCCACGTCCACGTCCACGTCCACGTCCATGTCCATGTCCACGTCCACGTCCACGTCCATGTCCACGTCCACGTCCACGTCCACGTCCACGTCCATGTCCACGTCCACGTCCATGTCCACGTCCACGTCCAGTCCACGTCCACGTCCACGTCCACGTCCACATACCTGCCCACTTCCACGTCCACGTCCACGTCCACGTCCATGTCCACGTCCACGTCCACGTCCACGTCCACGTCCATGTCCACGTCCACGTCCACGTCCACGTCCATGTCCACGTCCACGTCCACGTCCACGTCCACGTCCACGTCCACGTCCACGTCCACGTCCACGTCCACGTCCACGTCCACGTCCACGTCCACGTCCATGTCCACGTCCACGTCCACGTCCATGTCCACGTCCACGTCCACGTCCACGTCCATGTCCACGTCCACGTCCACGTCCACGTCCACGTCCACGTCCACGTCCACGTCCACGTCCACGTCCATGTCCACGTCCATGTCCACGTCCACGTCCATGTCCACGTCCACGTCCACGTCCACGTCCACGTCCATGTCCACGTCCACGTCCACGTCCACGTCCACGTCCACGTCCACGTCCACGTCCACGTCCACGTCCACGTCCACGTCCACGTCCACGTCCACGTCCACGTCCACGTCCACGTCCACGTCCACGTCCACGTCCACGTCCACGTCCACGTCCACGTCCACGTCCATGTCCACGTCCACGTCCACGTCCATGTCCACGTCCACGTCCACGTCCACGTCCACGTCCACGTCCACGTCCACGTCCACGTCCACGTCCACGTCCACGTCCACGTCCACGTCCACGTCCACGTCCACGTCCATGTCCACGTCCATGTCCACGTCCACGTCCACGTCCATGTCCACGTCCTGTCCACGTCCACGTCCACGTCCACGTCCACGTCCACGTCCACGTCCACGTCCACGTCCACGTCCACGTCCACGTCCACGTCCACGTCCACGTCCATGTCCACGTCCACGTCCACGTCCACGTCCCAGTCCACGTCCACGTCCACGTCCACGTCCATGTCCACGTCCACGTCCACGTCCACGTCCACGTCCACGTCCACGTCCACGTCCACGTCCACGTCCACGTCCATGTCCACGTCCACGTCCACGTCCATGTCCACGTCCACGTCCACGTCCATGTCCACGTCCACGTCCACGTCCACGTCCATGTCCACGTCCACGTCCACGTCCACGTCCACGTCCACGTCCACGTCCACGTCCACGTCCACGTCCACGTCCACGTCCATGTCCACGTCCACGTCCACGTCCACGTCCACGTCCACGTCCACGTCCACGTCCACGTCCACGTCCACGTCCACGTCCATGTCCACGTCCACGTCCATGTCCACGTCCACGTCCACGTCCATGTCCACGTCCACGTCCACGTCCACGTCCACGTCCACGTCCACGTCCATGTCCACGTCCACGTCCACGTCCACGTCCACGTCCACGTCCACGTCCACGTCCACGTCCACGTCCACGTCCACGTCCATGTCCACGTCCACGTCCACGTCCACGTCCACGTCCACGTCCACGTCCACGTCCACGTCCATGTCCACGTCCACGTCCACGTCCACGTCCACGTCCACGTCCACGTCCACGTCCACGTCCACGTCCACGTCCACGTCCACGTCCACGTCCACGTCCACGTCCACGTCCACGTCCACGTCCACGTCCACGTCCACGTCCACGTCCACGTCCATGTCCACGTCCACGTCCACGTCCATGTCCACGTCCACGTCCACGTCCACGTCCATGTCCACGTCCACGTCCACGTCCACGTCCACGTCCACGTCCACGTCCACGTCCACGTCCACGTCCACGTCCATGTCCACGTCCACGTCCATGTCCACGTCCATGTCCACGTCCACGTCCACGTCCACGTCCACGTCCACGTCCACGTCCACGTCCACGTCCACGTCCACGTCCACGTCCATGTCCACGTCCATGTCCATGTCCACGTCCATGTCCACGTCCACGTCCACGTCCACGTCCATGTCCACGTCCACGTCCACGTCCACGTCCACGTCCACGTCCACGTCCACGTCCACGTCCACGTCCACGTCCCACGTCCACGTCCATTCCACGTCCACGTCCACGTCCACGTCCACGTCCACGTCCACGTCCACGTCCATGTCCACGTCCACGTCCATGTCCACGTCCACGTCCACGTCCACGTCCACGTCCACGTCCATGTCCACGTCCACGTCCACGTCCACGTCCACGTCCACGTCCACGTCCATGTCCACGTCCACGTCCACGTCCACGTCCATGTCCACGTCCACGTCCACGTCCACGTCCACGTCCATGTCCACGTCCACGTCCATGTCCACGTCCACGTCCAGTCCACGTCCACGTCCACGTCCACGTCCACGTCCACGTCCACGTCCGTCCACGTCCACGTCCACGTCCACGTCCACGTCCACGTCCACGTCCACGTCCACGTCCACGTCCATGTCCACGTCCACGTCCACGTCCACGTCCACGTCCACGTCCACGTCCACGTCCATGTCCACGTCCACGTCCACGTCCACGTCCATGTCCACGTCCATGTCCACGTCCACGTCCACGTCCACGTCCACGTCCACGTCCACGTCCACGTCCACGTCCACGTCCACGTCCACGTCCACGTCCACGTCCACGTCCACGTCCACGTCCACGTCCACGTCCATGTCCACGTCCACACGTCCACGTCCATGTCCACGTCCACGTCCACGTCCACGTCCACGTCCACGTCCACGTCCATGTCCACGTCCACGTCCACCCACGTCCACGTCCATGTCCACGTCCACGTCCACGTCCACGTCCACGTCCACGTCCACGTCCATGTCCACGTCCACGTCCACGTCCATGTCCACGTCCACGTCCACGTCCATGTCCACGTCCACGTCCACGTCCACGTCCACGTCCACGTCCACGTCCCGTCCACGTCCATGTCCACGTCCACGTCCATGTCCACGTCCACGTCCACGTCCACGTCCACGTCCACGTCCACGTCCATGTCCACGTCCACGTCCACGTCCACGTCCACGTCCACGTCCACGTCCACGTCCACGTCCACGTCCACGTCCACGTCCATGTCCACGTCCACGTCCACGTCCACGTCCATGTCCACGTCCACGTCCATGTCCACGTCCACGTCCACGTCCACGTCCATGTCCACGTCCACGTCCACGTCCACGTCCACGTCCACGTCCACGTCCACGTCCACGTCCACGTCCACGTCCACGTCCACGTCCACGTCCACGTCCACGTCCACGTCCACGTCCACGTCCACGTCCACGTCCACGTCCACGTCCACGTCCACGTCCACGTCACGTCCACGTCCACGTCCACGTCCACGTCCACGTCCACGTCCACGTCCACGTCCACGTCCATGTCCACGTCCACGTTCCACGTCCAGTCCACGTCCACGTCCACGTCCACGTCCACGTCCACGTCCACGTCCACGTCCACGTCCACGTCCACGTCCACGTCCACGTCCACCCACGTCCACGTCCACCCACGTCCACGTCCACCCATGTCCACGTCCACGTCCACGTCCACGTCCACGTCCACGTCCACGTCCATGTCCACGTCCACGTCCACGTCCACGTCCACGTCCACGTCCACGTCCACGTCCACGTCCACGTCCACGTCCACGTCCACGTCCACGTCCACGTCCACGTCCATGTCCACGTCCACGTCCATGTCCACGTCCACGTCCACGTCCACGTCCACGTCCACGTCCACGTCCATGTCCACGTCCACGTCCACGTCCACGTCCACGTCCACGTCCACGTCCACGTCCACGTCACGTCCACGTCCACGTCCACGTCCACGTCCACGTCCATGTCCACGTCCACGTCCACGTCCACGTCCACGTCCACGTCCACGTCCATGTCCACGTCCATGTCCACGTCCACGTCCATGTCCACGTCCACGTCCACGTCCACGTCCACGTCCACGTCCACGTCCACGTCCACGTCCATGTCCACGTCCACGTCCACGTCCACGTCCACGTCCACGTCCACGTCCACGTCCACGTCCACGTCCACGTCCACGTCCACGTCCACGTCCACGTCCACGTCCACGTCCACGTCCACGTCCACGTCCACGTCCACGTCCACGTCCACGTCCACGTCCTGTCCACGTCCATGTCCACGTCTCGTCCACGTCCACGTCCACGTCCACCACACGTCCACGTCCACGTCCACGTCCACGTCCACGTCCACGTCCACGTCCACGTCCACGTCCACGTCCACGTCCACGTCCATGTCCACGTCCATGTCCACGTCCACGTCCACGTCCACGTCCACGTCCACGTCCACGTCCACGTCCACGTCCACGTCCACGTCCACGTCCACGTCCACGTCCACGTCCAGTCCACGTCCACGTCCATGTCCATGTCCACGTCCACGTCCACGTCCATGTCCACGTCCACGTCCACGTCCACGTCCACGTCCACGTCCACGTCCCGTCCATGTCCACGTCCATGTCCACGTCCATGTCCACGTCCACGTCCACGTCCATGTCCACGTCCACGTCCACGTCCACGTCCACGTCCACGTCCACGTCCACGTCCACGTCCACGTCCACGTCCACGTCCACGTCCACGTCCACGTCCATGTCCACGTCCACGTCCACGTCCACGTCCACGTCCACGTCCATGTCCACGTCCACGTCCACGTCCACGTCCACGTCCACGTCCATGTCCACGTCCACGTCCACGTCCACGTCCACGTCCACGTCCACGTCCACGTCCACGTCCATGTCCACGTCCACGTCCACGTCCACGTCCACGTCCACGTCCACGTCCACGTCCATGTCCACGTCCACGTCCACGTCCATGTCCACGTCCACGTCCACGTCCACGTCCATGTCCACGTCCACGTCCACGTCCATGTCCACGTCCACGTCCACGTCCACGTCCACGTCCATGTCCACGTCCACGTCCACGTCCACGTCCACGTCCACGTCCACGTCCACGTCCACGTCCACGTCCACGTCCACGTCCACGTCCATGTCCACGTCCAACCACCCACGTCCACGTCCACGTCCACGTCCACGTCCACGTCCACGTCCACGTCCACGTCCACGTCCATGTCCACGTCCACGTCCACGTCCACGTCCACGTCCACGTCCATGTCCACGTCCACGTCCACGTCCACGTCCACGTCCACGTCCACGTCCACGTCCACGTCCACGTCCATGTCCACGTCCACGTCCACGTCCACGTCCACGTCCACGTCCACGTCCACGTCCACGTCCACGTCCATGTCCACGTCCACGTCCACGTCCACGTCCACGTCCACGTCCACGTCCACGTCCACGTCCACGTCCACACGTCCCCCCCACGTCCACGTCCATGTCCACGTCCACGTCCACGTCCACGTCCATGTCCACGTCCACGTCCATGTCCACGTCCATGTCCACGTCCACGTCCATGTCCACCACGTCCACGTCCACGTCCACGTCCACGTCCACGTCCACGTCCACGTCCACGTCCACGTCCACGTCCACGTCCACGTCCACGTCCACGTCCACGTCCACGTCCACGTCCACGTCCACGTCCACGTCCCGTCCACGTCCACGTCCACGTCCACGTCCACGTCCACGTCCACGTCCACGTCCACGTCCACGTCCACGTCCACGTCCATGTCCACGTCCATGTCCACGTCCACGTCCACGTCCACGTCCACGTCCACGTCCACGTCCACGTCCACGTCCACGTCCACGTCCACGTCCACGTCCACGTCCACGTCCACGTCCACGTCCACGTCCACGTCCACGTCCACGTCCATGTCCACGTCCATGTCCACGTCCACGTCCACGTCCACGTCCACGTCCACGTCCACGTCCACGTCCACGTCCACGTCCACGTCCACGTCCATGTCCACGTCCACGTCCACGTCCACGTCCACGTCCACGTCCATGTCCACGTCCACGTCCACGTCCATGTCCACGTCCACGTCCACGTCGTCCACGTCCACGTCCACGTCCACGTCCACGTCCATGTCCACGTCCATGTCCACGTCCACGTCCACGTCCACGTCCACGTCCATGTCCACGTCCACGTCCACGTCCACGTCCACGTCCACGTCCACGTCCACGTCCACGTCCACGTCCACGTCCACGTCCACGTCCACGTCCACGTCCACGTCCATGTCCACGTCCACGTCCACGTCCACGTCCATGTCCACGTCCACGTCCATGTCCACGTCCACGTCCACGTCCACGTCCACGTCCACGTCCATGTCCACGTCCACGTCCACGTCCACGTCCACGTCCACGTCCACGTCCACGTCCACGTCCACGTCCATGTCCACGTCCACGTCCACGTCCACGTCCACGTCCATGTCCACGTCCACGTCCACGTCCACGTCCACGTCCACGTCCACGTCCATGTCCACGTCCACGTCCACGTCCACGTCCATGTCCATGTCCACGTCCACGTCCACGTCCATGTCCACGTCCACGTCCACGTCCACGTCCACGTCCACGTCCACGTCCACGTCCACGTCCACGTCCACGTCCACGTCCACGTCCACGTCCACGTCCACGTCCACGTCCACGTCCATGTCCACGTCCACGTCCACGTCCACGTCCACGTCCACGTCCACGTCCACGTCCACGTCCACGTCCATGTCCACGTCCTGTCCGTCCACGTCCACGTCCATGTCCACGTCCACGTCCACGTCCACGTCCACGTCCACGTCCACGTCCACGTCCACGTCGTCCACGTCCACGTCCACGTCCACGTCCACGTCCACGTCCATGTCCACGTCCACGTCCACGTCCATGTCCACGTCCACGTCCACGTCCACGTCCACGTCCATGTCCACGTCCACGTCCACGTCCACGTCCACGTCCACGTCCACGTCCACGTCCACGTCCACGTCCACGTCCACGTCCACGTCCACGTCCACGTCCACGTCCACGTCCACGTCCACGTCCACGTCCAGTCCACGTCCACGTCCACGTCCACGTCCATGTCCACGTCCACGTCCACGTCCACGTCCATGTCCACGTCCACGTCCACGTCCACGTCCTGTCCACGTCCACGTCCATGTCCACGTCCACGTCCACGTCCACGTCCAGTCCACGTCCACGTCCACGTCCACGTCCACGTCCACGTCCACGTCCACGTCCACGTCCACGTCCACGTCCACGTCCACGTCCACGTCCATGTCCACGTCCACGTCCACGTCCACGTCCACGTCCACGTCCACGTCCATGTCCACGTCCACGTCCATGTCCACGTCCACGTCCACGTCCACGTCCACGTCCACGTCCAGTCCACGTCCACGTCCACGTCCACGTCCACGTCCACGTCCACGTCCACGTCCACGTCCACGTCCACGTCCATGTCCACGTCCACGTCCACGTCCACGTCCACGTCCACGTCCACGTCCACGTCCACGTCCACGTCCACGTCCACGTCCACGTCCACGTCCACGTCCACGTCCACGTCCACGTCCACGTCCATGTCCACGTCCACGTCCACGTCCACGTCCACGTCCACGTCCACGTCCATGTCCACGTCCACGTCCACGTCCACGTCCACGTCCACGTCCACGTCCACGTCCACGTCCACGTCCACGTCCACGTCCACGTCCACGTCCACGTCCACGTCCACGTCCACGTCCACGTCCACGTCCACGTCCACGTCCACCCAGTCCACGTCCACGTCCACGTCCATGTCCACGTCCACGTCCATGTCCACGTCCACGTCCACGTCCACGTCCACGTCCACGTCCACGTCCACGTCCACGTCCACGTCCACGTCCACGTCCACGTCCACGTCCACGTCCACGTCCACGTCCACGTCCACGTCCACGTCCACGTCCACGTCCACGTCCACGTCCACGTCCACGTCCACGTCCACGTCCACGTCCACGTCCACGTCCACGTCCACGTCCACGTCCACGTCCACGTCCACGTCCATGTCCACGTCCACGTCCATACGTCCACGTCCATGTCCACGTCCACGTCCACGTCCACGTCCACGTCCACGTCCACGTCCACGTCCACGTCCACGTCCACGTCCACGTCCATGTCCATGTCCACGTCCACGTCCACGTCCACGTCCACGTCCATGTCCACGTCCACGTCCACGTCCATGTCCACGTCCACGTCCACGTCCACGTCCACGTCCACGTCCACGTCCACGTCCTGTCCACGTCCATGTCCACGTCCACGTCCACGTCCACGTCCACGTCCACGTCCACGTCCACGTCCACGTCCACGTCCACGTCCACGTCCACGTCCACGTCCACGTCCACGTCCACGTCCACGTCCACGTCCACGTCCACATGTCCACGTCCACGTCCACGTCCACGTCCACGTCCACGTCCATGTCCACGTCCACGTCCATGTCCACGTCCACGTCCACGTCCACGTCCACGTCCACGTCCACGTCCACGTCCACGTCCACGTCCACGTCCACGTCCACGTCCACGTCCACGTCCACGTCCACGTCCACGTCCACGTCCAGTCCACGTCCACGTCCACGTCCACGTCCACGTCCACGTCCACGTCCATGTCCACGTCCACGTCCACGTCCACGTCCACGTCCACGTCCACGTCCACGTCCACGTCTGGTCCACGTCCACGTCCACGTCCACGTCCCACGTCCACGTCCACGTCCACGTCCACGTCCACGTCCACGTCCACGTCCACGTCCACGTCCACGTCCACGTCCATGTCCATGTCCACGTCCACGTCCACGTCCATGTCCCGTCCACGTCCACGTCCACGTCCACGTCCACGTCCACGTCCATTCCACGTCCACGTCCACGTCCACGTCCACGTCCACGTCCACGTCCACGTCCACGTCCACGTCCACGTCCACGTCCACGTCCACGTCCACGTCCACGTCCACGTCCACGTCCACGTCCACGTCCACGTCCACGTCCACGTCCACGTCCACGTCCACGTCCACGTCCTACGTCCACGTCCACGTCCACGTCCATGTCCACGTCCACGTCCATGTCCACGTCCACGTCCACGTCCACGTCCACGTCCACGTCCACGTCCACGTCCACGTCCACGTCCACGTCCACGTCCATCGTCCACGTCCACGTCCACGTCCACGTCCACGTCCACGTCCACGTCCACGTCCACGTCCACGTCCACGTCCATGTCCACGTCCACGTCCACGTCCAGTCCACGTCCACGTCCACGTCCACGTCCACGTCCATGTCCACGTCCCGTCCACGTCCACGTCCACGTCCACGTCCACGTCCACGTCCACGTCCACGTCCACGTCCACGTCCATGTCCACGTCCACGTCCACGTCCATGTCCACGTCCACGTCCACGTCCATGTCCACGTCCACGTCCACGTCCACGTCCACGTCCACGTCCCGTCCACGTCCACGTCCACGTCCATGTCCACGTCCACGTCCACGTCCACGTCCACGTCCACGTCCACGTCCACGTCACGTCCACGTCCACGTCCACGTCCTGTCCACGTCCACGTCCACGTCCACGTCCACGTCCACGTCCACGTCCACGTCCACGTCACGTCCACGTCCACGTCCATGTCCACGTCCACGTCCACGTCCACGTCCACGTCCACGTCCACGTCCACGTCCACGTCCACGTCCACGTCCATGTCCACGTCCACGTCCACGTCCTGTCCACGTCCACGTCCACGTCCACGTCCACGTCCACGTCCCAGTCCACGTCCACGTCCACGTCCACGTCCACGTCCACGTCCACGTCCACGTCCACGTCCACGTCCACGTCCACGTCCACGTCCACGTCCACGTCCACGTCCACGTCCACGTCCATGTCCACGTCCACGTCCACGTCCACGTCCACGTCCACGTCCACGTCCACGTCCACTGTCCACGTCCACGTCCACGTCCACGTCCACGTCCCACGTCCACGTCCACGTCCACGTCCACGTCCACGTCCACGTCCACGTCCACGTCCATGTCCACGTCCCGTCCACGTCCACGTCCATGTCCACGTCCACGTCCACGTCCACGTCCACGTCCATGTCCACGTCCACGTCCGTCCACGTCCACGTCCACCAACGTCCACGTCCACGTCCACGTCCACGTCCACGTCCATGTCCACGTCCACGTCCACGTCCATGTCCACGTCCACGTCCACGTCCATCCCTCCACGTCCACGTCCACGTCCACGTCCATGTCCACGTCCACGTCCACGTCCACGTCCACGTCCACGTCCACGTCCACGTCCACGTCCACGTCCACGTCCACGTCCACGTCCATGTCCACGTCCACGTCCACGTCCATGTCCACGTCCATGTCCCACGTCCACGTCCATGT